AAATCATGCCACCCTCGCCTTCTCCCACAGAGTCCAACAGTCTGTTCTTTACATCTGTGTCTCTTTTGGACCTGCATTCTTCTCTCCAGTACCTTATCTTCCCCCTTGAGGCAGACAGACGTGCCAGAAACATCCTTAGGGTGAGCTAGCCATCTGGAGGGTCATGGATGTGTTACGAGTGGGCTGCAGTCTTGTTCCTCAGTCCTGGATGCTCGATGGGGTCCCCCACGAGTCAGGTGTGCTCTTCGGAGGGTCATGGCTCAGCCCAGGGGGAGTAACTGGTGTGTCTTCAGCCCTCAGGTCGCTTTGGCTCGGCTGTAGCTGTGCTGGACTTTAACGTGGACGGCGTGCCTGACCTGGCGGTGGGAGCCCCCTCGGTGGGCTCCGAGAAGCTCACATACACAGTAAGGAGGCTGGTGGGGAGAGGGGATAGTGGGGGTGGAGTCTGGAGCCCATGGAACCTCTAGAGAGAAGCAGGTGGAAGGGGTGCCAGGCAGTGTTTGTGGGGAGATGATCCCAGCCCTCCATTCAGGTCCTTGTGACCTCTGGCTACCTGGCAGATCCTGTTTCTGCCTCCCTCGCCTCAGTTTGGCTTCTCGGGTGGGATTTCCCAATTCCGCCAGGTCCTGAATTCCCCTTCCTTCCTTCCCTCCCCCAGGGATGCTGAGAGATGGTCAGGAGGGGCAGAAATTCCAGCTAATCCACAGCTTCCTGTCATGGGGCAGGGACGTGAGTCCCTGGATCCTTCCTCGTGGGCACAGAACCCAGCACCTTCCCCCTCTCTCTCCCGAGAGCAGAGATCCTGGGTCCTGGCCCACAGGGCTCTCCTCCTCCCAGTCCACACCATAGCCGAGCATCGTGAGTGACTGCAGAGTCCAAGGCCCTTCATCACCCTGTCCCACCGGGTTCACCTCTTCCCCTCCCTCCTCACTCGTGAGTCGTGGGAACAATTTTTCATGCAGACCATCAGGCACTTTCATGTTAGGACCCATGCTCATCCAGTTCCTTCTACCCGAAAAACCCCTTTTCCATTTGTTTTTTCCCTGTAGGGGGTAACACATCACTTCTTGGAGGAAGTGTGACCTAAACCCTGGTTCAGGCGACACTGTTGTCCTGTGCTCACTGCCCGTTTGCAGCTCCTCACACTGCGGTGTCACAGTTGCCCCTTGGCCAGCTTTTGGGAGGGTTGAGGTTGGTCTTATCCATCACTGTGTACTCAGTCCTCAGCTCACCAGGGAAAGGAAATGATTCTAGAAGGAGGAGGGATGCAGAGAGGCAAGTTGTAAGATGGGAACTGTTTCATAACCCAGTAACAGCACAGCCTGTGTCCGAAGGCAAGCGAGCGGTACTGACGAGATGTACTGGTGTTGAGAAGTCATGGGCTGGGTCGGGGTGGCGGTGGGGCTTCGTGGAAGAGCCGGAAGCTGAACTGGGCTTTGAAGGGGTTGTGGGCAGTTGAGTAGTTCATTCTGCAAACATGTTGAACAATTATGGATGGCAGACCCAGAGCAAGATGTGGGGGAGACCAAGATGAAATGACAGTTTCTGCTTTGGGGGGCTCTTAATGATCTGATGGAAGAGGCTGATGCACAGGACTGGACACTGACTTCAGTCAGTAACCGAGCTCCTGACTCTACAGGGCTCCGATGGTGATTTGTTTCATCATCAGTCATCTTTGTCTTGCTGTTAAGGTTCTTGGGTTACCACCGAGTCTCACAATCGCCCTGTGGTTTGTCCTTATCTAGGGTGCAGTGTACATCTACTTTGGTTCCAAACAAGGGCAACTGTCTTCTTCCCCCAACATCACCATCTCTTGCCAGGTACGTTGACCACCTTCATCAAGTACAGAAAAAGAGAATTCACCGCATCCTAATTGCCCCAAGGCTGAGTTAAAGGTGGTTGGGTTCCCATTTTCTCTTCAGGATACCTACTGTAACTTGGGCTGGACCCTCCTGGCAGCGGATATGAATGGAGACAGTGAACCGGACCTGGTGATTGGCTCCCCTTTTGCTCCAGGTGGAGGGAAACAGAAGGGAATTGTGGCTGCATTTTACTCTGGCTCCAGTTACAGTGACAGAGGTAGTGCTTGCCGGGGGTGGGGTGGGCGGAGACCCCCACTGCTGTAGTCTGTGATGCCTTCTCTTGCATGGGGGTTTCGGTCCTGTTTCCCTTGTTGTGTGTGGTTTCACCTGAATTCTCTATCATTCTTCCTCTTTTAGATGTTCTAGCAAGTGTTGTGGGCAGGTTTACTGAATATACAGAAGGATCCAGTGTGTAGACCCAGATCCAAAGCGGAGGGTGGGGAGTGGGCAATAGTTACCCTCATAGTGTCTCAATGGAAGAGTGAAAACACTCAGGCATCGCACTGATGCTCCAGCTGTCCAACAGGCCTTTTTGGGGGTGGGGGGGTGCATGCAGTTTGTGGAATCTTAGTTCCTCAGCTAGGGATTGAACCTGGATCCTCGGCAGTGAGAACACAGCATCCTAACCACTGGACTGCCAAGAAAATTCCCAACAGGTCCTCTTTTTAGACAGCATCCTCCACTCCACAGAGGCTAGCTCTAGAAATGTATTTTTTGTATGATGCATGAGCCCCATTTCTGATGCTGGGGCCCTGGGGACAGGTGTGGGGGCATGTAAGAGTTGTGGCAAAAACAGCCCAATGAACCCGTTTCTCATTATGCTACACAAAGGGCCACTCTTCCCATTCCTGTAGTCTTTCCACGTAAAGCAGAAGGCACTGCTTGTCTTGTGCAGAGAAGCTGAACGTGGAGGCTGCCAACTGGCTGGTGAGGGGAGAGGAGGACTTTGCTTGGCTGGGGTACTCCCTTCACGGTGTCGGTGTCAACAACAGGACTTTGCTCCTGGCTGGAAGCCCGACCTGGAAGAACACCAGTAGGTGAGCCCTGATGTGGGGTGCAGGGACCAGTGACCCAAGGGGTAGGTCCCTGAAGCCTGGGGAGCCCACTGAATGTGGGGTTCACAGGAAGTGGCTCTGAAATTCCTACCCTTCAAGGAAAAGCGAAGACTCTGGCTCAAGTGGCAAATGTTCCTTTTTAGAAGTTTGAGAGAGAGCTGTGTTAGTTTGCCTGCATTGTCTGGGTGGCTTAAGCAGCAGGAATCGATGATCTCCGTTTTGGAGGTTAGAGATCTGAGATCAAGGTGTCAGCAGGGTTGCTATCTTCCAGGGCGCCTCTGTGTCACTTAAACCACCTTCTCCGTGCCTCCCATGCAGCCTCCTTTCTGTGCATCGACCCCTGGTGTCTGTCCCTCTTATGAGGACACTAGTCATATTGGATTGGGGCCCCACCACGATGACCTCATTTTAGCATAATTACCTCTTTAAAGACCCTGTCTCCAAATGCTATCACCTTCTGAGGTACTGGCAGTTAGGATTTGAACATGAATTTTGGGGAACACAATCCAGCCCCTAACAGGAGGCATCCCCCTGTTTTGTCAGTTGGGAAGTAGAATGCGAACCTCTTAACCTGGAGAGTCTTGATATGGGGGTTCATTCTGAACACCCCCCCACACTGATGACAGGGACCAGTAGCCTGGGGTGCAGGGGGCGCTGTGAGTGGGGAAGATGTGGGTCATCTTTCCTTGGACCTGAGCACCCGCCCAGCGCTGCATCCTGGGTCCCAGCACCTCAGCCCAGCGTGCTTGCTTCCAGTCAGGGCCACTTGTTCCGCACTCGCGAAGAGAAACAGAGCCCTGGACGGGTGTATGGCTATTTCCCGCCGAACTGTCAAAGCTGGCTTAGCATTTCCGGAGACAAGGTATGGCGGCCCCCTCCCTCCCCAGGGAAGCAGACATCACAGGGAGATTCTCAGCTGTACTGTAGTGACTTACTGCATTTCACAGGCGATGGGGAAACTGGGTACCTCCCTGTCTAGTGGCCACGTGATGGTGAACGGGACCCGGACCCAAGTGCTGCTGGTGGGGGCCCCGACACAAGGTAGGTCACCCGCCATGAAACTTCACTTCTTCATGAATAGCTGTGTCACTTCCCAAACCCTGGAACCGGATCATCCTCATTTTGGCCTATACTGCTTTTCCAGTGGTGCCTGCATTGTATCATAACCACCCCCTATTATGATAAAGTTCCAGTTTTGCAAAGATATGACATCACTGGAAGAACTGTGGGGATCTAGTATTGAAACTGTGACCTCCCCCAGCAGGTGGGTCATGTGGCGTCAGACAGATGTCACTGTCTTAGCGGCAAAAATTAAAGACAACTCCCCATGAGTTCATCAAAGTGTTTCAGTGTTGAGTTCGGGAATCACAGCTCTATGGACGGATTGAGTGAAACGTGAAATATCTGACCTACTTGCAGGGCGAGTTCAAGTAAACTAATAATTAGATTTAGGCCTGTCCCCTCAGCCTCTGGCTCAGCAGGATCTCTGGGTCCGACTGTGGCCACAACATACGACCGTTTAAATATTCAGTGGGGATTTTATGATACTCATTAAAAGCTACAAAGTATTTGTGGCATGAAAAAGAATACTCGATGGCAAGATTGAGGTGAGACTGGGAACTCACACACTGCTGGTGAAATGTAAACTGATGTACTTTCTCTAGTAAGAGGTTTGGCAAAATGACAAGAGCCTTAAAAACAATACTCATCCCCCAAATCCAATGATAGACGGTCCCTTCTAAAAATCTGTTCTCAGAAAATACTGTGGGGGAAGGATCATAGTAATTCATAAATATCATTTATCATAGTATTAAATATAAAACCAAAACTTAGTAAAAGGAATTTTGTAATCTGCAAAAAACCCCATTAAAATGTGTATGTATGTATATGTAAGTATATATCATTGTCCAGAAACAAATATATGCATTACATACATTTTCTTCTTTATACTTCTTTTGGATGTTTTCCACACCTTTTACAATGATCATATATAAATTTTGGCATTCACAAATCTGACAGTTTCGCCTGTGTCACTGCAAGTCTGTCTCCGCGCTTCGTTCTTGTGACAGTGGCAGCTACTGTTCTGTGGTTTATTTCAGATGTCGTGTCTAAGGTATCATTCCTGACCATGACCCTGCACCAAGGTGGGAGCACTCGGATGTATGAACTGACCCCTGACTCGCAGCCTTCTCTGCTCAGCACCTTCAGTGGAAACCGCCGCTTCTCCCGATTTGGTGGCGTTCTGCACTTGAGTGACTTGGATGATGATGGCTTAGGTAGGAAAGGAACGGTGGCTCTGGCCAAGAAGATGGGCCCCCCTGATAGGATCACCCCTGGTCTAGCCTCATAACAAATCAAGACCAGAGCTGGATGTACAAGAGTGAGTTGTACTTCTTGAACATGGTGAAATGAGAGCCACCCACATCAATGAATGATGAAACAGAAAACAAAAGCCTCTGACTGCATTGGAAAGAAATCAGGGTAGACCAGTGAAGGATGCATTACTATTGGTGGGAGGCTGGGTGAGGATCCAGCAGTGGAACAATGGAAAGGATGACAGCAAGGAGTAAGACACTTCCTTCTTCTGGTTTTCATGGTTCACAGATGAAATCATCATAGCAGCCCCGCTGAGGATCACAGATGCAACTGCGGGACTGATGGGGGGAGAGGATGGCCGTGTTTATGTGTATAATGGCAAACAGATCACCGTGGGTGACATGACAGGCAAATGCAAATCATGGGTGACTCCATGTCCAGAAGAAAAGGTAAGCATTGTACACAACTCCACACCAAACTGGGAAAGGACGGTACTTGCTGATGCCTTGGTAAATTATGTCCACTCTAGAACTCTTAGTTGCTACTTGGACTCAGGTAACCTGACCCACACCTGAGGTCAGAGCACAATCACTTGCTTGAAAGCTGCCTGCCTTCCTGCAGTTCTAGTGTTTGCCCCCATAGCGGAAGTTCAGCTGGATGTGGTGTCATACTGGCTCTTGGTTCGGAGTGCACAGCAGAAAACAGACCATGGCCGTTGGGAGTTTCTTGAAGACTCCAGCCCTTTTTATTTCATCTTTCATTGCTTAAGTTTCCTCGATCTAAAACACTTGGCTGTTATTTTAAACTTAAAATTTCAAATTAGAAAAGAGTTTATTGTAAAACTATTAGAAAATGCAGTACAAAGAATTCTAGTCTGCAGAGATGTCCAGTAACCTTTTCATGTGTATCCTGCTAGTATTTTTTTCTATGAACTTAATTACTACCATTTATTGTGCATTTACTCTGTGTGTGCCTGAGCTTCCTAGGTGGTGCTAGTGGTAACGAATTTGCCTGCCCATGCAGGAGACGTGGGTTTGATCCCTGAGTCAGAAAGATCCCCATGGAGGAGGGCATGGCAATCCAGCCCAGTATTCTTGCCTGGAGAATCCCATGGACTGGCAGGCTACAGTCCATAGGGCTGCAAAGAACTGAACAGGACTGAAGTGACTGAGCATGCACACACTTTGTGCCTAGCACTTTTTATATACATATAAAATCTAATTCACAATAAAGCTATTAGTTTGGTATTCTGTTCATTATAAAGAAACTGAAGATCAGAGAAGGAAGTTGTTACAGGTCACACTGCTAGGAAATGGTAGAACAGGGACTTGAACCCAGAGCTGATTCTGAAGCACACCCTTAAACCTTTACACCGTGTCTGTGTGTATATATTAATGGTTGTGATCCTAGTGTACATTTTGTATACAACTTTATCTTGTTTAACCTATCAGTGTAATAAGTCTTCTATGCTTTCTAAATTCTTATGCAATATATCTACCAGATACTTAGTTGTTTATCCGTAGACAAACCATTTAAGTCTGTTAGTCACTTAGTCTATTTCAAATTTTTGCTGTTATAGTAAGATAAATATTCACATAAACATTTTTATACATCTGTTTTTCTGAGCTACATTCCTGTAAGCAGGATTTCTGGTGACAAAGGGCTTCTCTAAAATGTAGAAATTTGAGTGAGTATAATTAAAATTGGTTAAAGAAAAAATCCGTGAACAGCAATAACATTAACAGTCTCACTTTCTTATCACTCTCTTTCAGGCCCAGTATGTACTAATTTCTCCTGAAGTAAGTATCTTCTTAAAAAAAAAAAAAAAAGCCCTTTCCTGTATTTTAAGTTGATAAAAATCATATGGTATGTTTTCAAAGGCCATTAACAGACAGTGTATTTCACAGGCAGGCTCAAGGTTTGGGAGCTCTGTGATCACTGTGAGGTCAAAGAAAAAGGTAAGCGCCAAGACTGTACGGCTTTGGTGTTTCCGTTTGTTCTAAGGCTGGGATTTGCGAGTGATCTCATTTCGCATGTATTTTAGATTTTATTTGAAAAACAGGGACTCAAAAAAAAAAAGAGAAAACACATAATCCCATCATTTTTTGGTGAAAGGTTCTCCTCACTACCCCTGCAATTTCATCCTCTTCAACAGGGGTTGGCAAATTACAGCCTGTTGGCCAATTCTAGCTGGCTGCCTGTTTTTGTGTAATCCACAAACTAAAAATGATTGACATGTTTAAATGACTGGAAAAAATGAGAATATTTTGTGACACAAGATATTTACAAGAATTCAAACTGCAGTGTCTCTAACAAGCTTTACTGGAATACAGATGGCCACATTCATTCTTTTCTCTTCCTCTGCTGCTTGTTCAGCTGCTCAGTCGTGTCCGACTCTTTGCGACCCCATGGACTGCAGTTACCTCTGATACTCTACCATGATTGCAGCTGACTGATGTCCCACAAAGCCTAAAATATTACCCTGATACTTTACTGTAAAAGTCTGTCAACCCTTGCCATATTGGCTAAGCATTGTTAATATATTTTGGTTCTTTAGGAATGAACCAAATACATACTAACAATATATTTGTTATATAATTGTATCTTTTTGCATGACTTTAGAATAACTATGCAAGTATCTCTGCTGGCTAGATTCCTGGAAGACTACTAGGTCAAAGGGTATGCACATTTTGAATTTTAATAGCCATGACAGATTTAAAGGATTTTATCTTAAAACATACAGCTAGACCACTGATTTCACTCATTTATTTAAGGATATGACATTGTACAGATCTGTGCTAGGCTGAGAGAGGAAGAGACCAAGTGTCTGCTCTTGAGGAAAATTAAGATTTATTTTATTTAACGCGTGGGAAGTTAAAAGGCAAATAAGCATAGTAACAAATGCCAACTGGAAGTGTGAACTGTGGTGTGAAAGGCTAGAGAAGCCGCCGTAGGTGTTTGAGTATAGAACCGAGTCCGCAGGGCTTGGCAGGTGCCTTGGCCCTGGCTTGGACTTGTAAGCGCTGTGGTGAAACTGCCCTCTGCTGGTCAACAGTTCAAGTAGCCCTTTAACTCATTTATGGGCAAGCTTAACCACAACCAAAAAAGAGGCAGATTATAAACTATGGGGGGCTTCTCAAAAGATACGATCATAAGAATATCGTAAATTTGGTTTGCATTTTAAATGTTATTCACTTTCCAGGAATCAGATGTTACTAAGAACGTTACTAAGACGTTACTAAAAACCCATGAACCATATACAAATCATGAACCAACTGAAGGGGGTGGGTAGTGTAGATCATCTAAAAGTAATTTGATTCCTTTCTGTTTAACACTGCAAATTCATCTTCCTAATTACAGCTCATGAGTCAATATTAAAATTATTCCACTTTCCCAACACATACCTGAGGCTGGGGGCCCTGAAGAACTCTCTTATGTGTGAAGATAAATCAAAGGTTGTTTTAAAAATGGACACAATCTGAGGATGATGAGAGTGGGTGGCCTCTTAAGGAGACATGAGTAAAAGTTATGATTTTGAAGACTCCTCTCTTCCTTTCTCTGTGTGAGCATTAAGTAACCAACTAGAACTAGGAGGACCACTTACCTCCGTGGTATTGCCACTGTGTTTCTGAAACCTCCTGTGGCCTCCAGCCAGCCTGTGAGCCCTGATGGAACAGTGCTGTAGACAAAGAAACCTGAGACATGGACCCTGCCCCCCAGGTGCTTAGACTCTAAGTGGAAAAATGAAACATGCCCACGAGACCATCAAGGCCCATTTATGATGACCCAAATCCAAGGCAGTCAGAGATCAATGGGAATTGGCTGGGGGAGTCAGGGAAGGCCTGGCAGAGCCCCTGGGGCTTGAGTGGATCTGGAAATCAGAGTACGCTGACTGCGCAGACAGGGCAAGAGCAGGGGAAGACCTGATTTTAGGAATGGAGGTGGTTTAACCAGGCACTGGAGAGGAGACTTAGCTTGTGGCCAAGCTACAGACATATCCAGTAAATGAGCAATTCCACAAGTAAGAGTTTACAGCTTTTGTTCCCTCTTAATTGACAATGGGGGTATTTAAAAAGATACACACAAAGGGTCATGCATAGTACCTGACACATCTGAATTCCATTGGGAGGTTTCAAAATTAAGTCAGTGAAAAACTTCACAGGTTTAGTCCCTGTATGGTCACAGCCTGCTCCACCCATCAGTCAGTCTGATCAGCCACACCTCACCTATCGCCATGGTCCAGAAACACTTGGTAGTTTCAAAACTAAAATCCACTTCAAAAAATGTTTAAAAACTTGTATAAGCTTTGAAGACAATTTTGAAAGCAGCAGGGGCAGAGAAGGTGGTGTGAACACATTGATGAAGCCAGATTACTCCAGATATGCCGTCTACACTGCACCACAGCTAGGATGCTGAATAAACAAGCACAGATGCACTTTTCCCTTGTGTACCTGAGGAGGAACTAGTGAGGACTTCCTCAGCTGTGGTTTTCTGAACCTACAGAGCTGAGAAGGGGGGTATTTAAACCAAAGGAAAGAGGCATTTAAGCTCAAGCCCTTGGGTCTGGCCAATGTCTAACTTTATCTTTCTAGCTCAGAGCGTAACATGATGCCTGGACTACAGCAGGAATGTGACACAGGTTGTGAATGAAGCCTGTTTTGTGTCTCCTACAGAATCAACTTGTCATTGCTGCTGGAAGGAGTTCTCTGGGAGCCCGACTCTCTGGGGTGCTTCATATCTATAGCCTCGGCCAAGATTAAAGGTTTCACTCCATTTTCCTCACCTGTCCCCCTCCCTCGTGCCGAGTCATCTTCTGGGTGAGCGTTCTGGGGGACAAAGTGGCGTATCCAGGGGAGCCTTGGTAGACCTTACGACAGGTGGGGCTCGAGACACACACACACAGACTGGCTGCCAACAGGACACAGTAAGTGGTGACAACACCGAAGTATGTGAAACAGTGGATGCGCTCGTTATTCACGTCCCTTTGCAAAGCTTGTTTCCTGTGCCCCTGAACTTAACTCCTAACTGGCTTTCTGTGCTCAGACCTGCTGCACAACCCACTTCCTCGTCCACTTGAGCACCTGTGTCTTTCTGATGCCTGAAAAGGCCTGTCGCTAGTTATCGTAGGAAAAGCTCTGTAGCACAATTCTTGCTAAAAACGTCCTCTAAAAACTGGTGACCCATTCCAATCAAAGTGAAACAGAAAGCACAGTACACAGGAGAAAAAGCATGAGGTAACGAGGAGAAAAGTACGGGGGGAGAGGCCTAATCTCACAACTCCAAAATCACGTTGTAAATGATGTGGTCCTTTCTCACGAGGACTGTTGTATTTTCAGTGTTTCACATAGTGAAGGGCAAATATAAAAAGTAAGTATCACCTGACCGTGTCCTCAGATATTTCTGGAGAAATGACTGTTCTAACAGCCGATGCAACTAGTGATCTTCTGCTAATCTGAAGTCATCTCAGGAAGCCCCAGGCAGCGGGAGGCTGCCACAAGCCTTGCCAACAGAACCAGAACAGGAAGAAGAGCGAGCTGTCATGAGCTGAAGGTGACTGTGCAGGACTAAGGAGTGAGGCAGGCTTGGCCTCCTACTTCCTGGGCTGGTCTCAGTGGAGCAGATCTCATCTGCCAGACCTGGAGGGTAGAATGTTTAAGGGAAGGGAATGGACCACAGGATTTCAGCTTCTCTAAAAATCAGCGGGCACTGTTATCTGTAAACTGTAACTAGTTGATTCTCTATCAGGGTAGAACCTCTTTTCTTCTGACACTAATGAAATGAAACTAAAACCAGGAAAAAATTAAAATGACCAGAGCCCTTCTCTTAGTTTCTCTTGGGGCAGTAAAGAGACTGGTCAAAGGACATAGGGTTTTGGCTGAAGAGTAAAGTTGAATTTGAAATCAAAGGAAAAACCAGTAGAATTAGAACTGTGAGTATACACTTTGTGTGTATATAGGAGAACAGCATAAACAGGCTCATACCTAGACAGGACCTCTGGCTGACTCCCAGGACCGTCCCATCCCTTCTTTCTGAAAGAGGTACACCAGTTGCCTGGTTCCCTATGGCACAGTACAAAGCACAAAGAAATACCATTTGATTTTCAGTTAACAACTATTTGGCTGCTCAGCCTATCTGAAGAATTGTTTTCATTAGTTTATTTTTAGGGGACCAGAAATGACTTGCTCGTATTCCTGTATTCTGAGGGAAGAACAAGCTGATGAAGCTGCATTTCAGCAAAGGCGTGCTCTCAGGACTGCGTCTCTCCATTTAGGAGGAGGCGCACCTTCACCGGGCCGCTGCTGAACAAAGTGTTATGTTTTACTAAATGATCGGGCCAGCGTTTAAACATAACTATTCTTTACCTGAGGATTTATATTTTCCTGAACCATAATAGCAACCAGCAGGAGGAGATGGTTAAAATTGACTAAGTTAGAAGCAGGTCTAGATATTTATCCATACTAACCTGTATTAAGAAATTATATAAATTGTATCCTACTGCATGTATGGAAAATATGTAAAAACCTGCATACAGGAAAAAATCTAATACCCGACAGACTAATGTATTATCTCAACAGGTGGATTAAGTTTCCATTCTACACTAAGTTAACTGTAATTCTAAGCACTGGTTCTGACTTCAGTTCAGTGGCTCAGTTGTGTCCGACTCACTGTGACCCCATGGACTGCAGCATGCTAGGCCTCCCTGTCCATCACCAACTCCCGGAGTTTACTCAAACTCATGTCCATTGAGTCGGTGATGCCATCCAACCATCTCATCCTCTGTCGTCCCCTTCTCCTCCTGCCTTCAATCTTTCCCAGCATCAAGGGCTTTTCCAATGAGTTAGTTCTTCACATCAGGTGGCCAAAGTATTGGAGTTTCAGCTTCAGCATCAGTCCTTCCAATGAATATTCAGGACTGATTTCCTTTAGGATGGACTGGATGGATCTCCTTGCAGTCCAAGGGACTCAAGAGTCTTCTCCAACACATCAACATAAATTGATGCTTTTGAACTGATTCTGACATACTTAAAATAAAAATACCTTATAGGGTTTAAATCTCTCAGGAACACAAATCTGAACTTATACAACAATTCAAAATTACCTTTATTTTATGATATCAGAACACATTTACATATCTGCAATTTTTGTCTATCACCTGTATATGCAAAGGCTGTCTTACAGGCTTCAAGACTAGAACTGACTTATGCCTTTGTATCACAGACCTAAAGAGATTTGAAGTAAGTTTGGGAACTCTGAATTCCCTATTCCATGCTCCAACTACGTAACTATTACTAAAGTAATGACAATAAATCCTGAATTTAAAGTGAGTTTAATATTTAATATTAATTTTCCAAAACATAAAGCTGTGTACAAATCTTAGAATAACTCACCAAAATATATGGCTTTTTAATATGATTATTTAGAGGTTATCAGTCTATCAAGAGTAAAGCAAGTATTACTCGTATCTTAAAATGACACCTATTTTTGCTACACTTTCTTAGAGGTCTTACAATGACATGTTAAGAATATCATTCCCTGTACATGTTAGAGGATATGATTGCCTGCTTACTCATACATGAATATTTGGTATTCTTTCACCTTATTTACAAATAATTTATATACTCCATCTATTTAAATCCAAAATTTAAAACTGAACTTTTTTCTTTTTCATAGGCTGTTTATTAGCTCTTTAATGTAAGAAGCATCCTGCTATCTATCACCAAAGCAGAGGCAGCTGACATCTGGACATTAACTTGATTGAACCATGTTCAAGAACTTTATAAACCATTAGTACCTTCCCTTTATCAGACTTATGAGGTAGTTGCATTTATTTACCCTTTTACTGATGAGACACTAACTCAAAATTATTTTAGCTAAGCCCTCAAACTAAGTAACATCAGAAAGAAAAAAAGACCAAAATTCTATCCCATACCTGACCTTAAACCAAATCACATTTTGCCTCTTGGACTTCCAAGTTTTCGTCACAGTTAATATTTATTAATATTACCTATTTTACAGTGATAACCTGAAGATCAAAAACAGCATAGTGCTCTGAGGTATACCAAAGAAGAGTGCCCTGTGAAATCTAAATATTGTCAAAGATACTTTATCTTGGAAATCGAACAGATCTATGATGGTATTTACATTCCACAGCCACACCATAAAGCACGCTCCAAGGCAAGCCCAGCATGTTTCATGCTGTTCCAATGTCCTTTCATAACCACACATGGAAATGGGAAAATTCATTTGTTTTCTTTCAGATCAGCTACTGGAAAGAGCATTTTAATTCATTTTTACCCACCTGGAAAATGGACCCTATTTACTAATTTTGTAGTGCAAGAGCTGCTTTGGACTCTAGAATTGTCTATGTATGTTACTTTTGGAGACAAATATAACTGTAATGTTCTACTGTGTAACTTTTTAACCTCCAGAAAATATAGAAAACGTAGAAGATATCAGGTAGCATAAGTGCTTGAGACATAGAAATATTAGCCATTTGTTTTAAACTCAACTCTGAAAACAAAAGGGTATCACAATTTTAAAATTTACCTACCCCCTTGTTTTAGGAAGCCCATCAGCCAGCCTCTCGGGTGTAGCCAAACAGATGAAAAAATGTGTAGCCTCGTTAATCTTGCTACACGTTTTCCTTTTTGGTGTGACATGTCTGTCCTAAAAACCAAGGAATGAGCAAAACAGCTATAAAACAGTAACAGAATGGAAATACTTTCAGCTATTTCCAAAGGCTTTAATTATAGTCAAGCAAAGAAAAATAGTTTCATAGGTTGAGGAAGTAAAATTTTGAATAACTGGAAGCTATACAAAGCTGATATTAATGTCTCATTTCCTTTTTGTATTCCTTATATAAAAATAGGGGCAAGGACTTCCTTGGCAGTTAAAGAGGTTGAAATACCACACTTTCACTGCAGGGGGCATGGGTTCAAGTCCTGGTCAGGGAACTAAGATCCTGAATGCAGCCAAAAAAAAAGCAGGTGTGTGTGTGTGTGTGCGCGCGCGCGTGCACAAATACAAGAAAATACAGTTATGTCAAAGGCTGATTTAAAGTTTATGGTTAATATATATTATGCTAGCTTTTTCACCTGAGAGTCAGGAAATTCACAAGAACATGATTCCTTACAGTAAGAACTGTGGTTACCTAATCTCACAACTAACTGCCTGATCCAAGTCCATCCGGCCTGAAACTGTGTTTCATTTCCAGCCTTCTGTCTGCCTGCAGTGTCTTCTTAGGTAAAGAGGCCATCTAAATAAAAGCAGAAAAAATTCATAATTTTAGTTGTGTCGGTTTAAAAGAAAAACCACCAGTAAAAACGATACATTAACCACTAAAGGAGTGAAGGCCTGCCAGCCGTGTATCACTGTCTTGAGTACTTGCTCCAGGAATATAAACTATAAGTAGAAGGCTATGAAAAAGAGATAAACTGTCTTTTCCTAACACGATAATTGTTTTCTACATTTCAAGTTTGGTTATGACAAAGCCTGCACCAGAATTACTAACACCTGTCTAAATGTACAATGGCTGTCACAGCATTCCACCCAAATAAACTTCTAACTTACTTACTCTGCCACTGCTTTCCACGTAACATCGAATTCTCCTTTTAACTACATGAAGCAGGCGGCACTGACTTAAGTGGGAAAGCTGGGCGAGGCTGAGAGAAATTAAAAAAACCTGTTCAGGGTCTCAAAGCCTGTGACAACCTAAGCCCAGGACACAGGACTGCAGCCCCTCTGCGGTACTGTGCCGAGTCTGACCCTTCATACCAGAGGTGGCAGCGGAGCTTCCAGCTGTCGTCCGAGGAATGACAGCAAGCGCCTCCAGATGAGGCCGCTTCCCATAAACATAATTCCTGTGATCAGCCAGAATACTCTATGGTCCTAGAAGAGAACACACAGTCATTTTAACCACAAAAGGCTAGGTTCCTTCGTGATAAAATTTCCTGAACTTGTCACTGCCCCAGAGCTTAAAAGGAACTTTCAAACTCTGTGCTGCTCTTTCCTATAGGAACTAAGAACATGTGCCCTAACAGCACTCAGAGACCAAGAGTCAAAAAATAAACTGGAAGGAAAACATGATTTAAAAGAGTATTTTTATGATCATCAGTGAACCAATATAACTGCTTTTACTCTGTATTTCCTTCCAGTCTTTGTTTACATTCACACAGATTTTAATATACAGGACATACAACTTAAAATTTCTGCTTATGGCCACCCTTGCTAAACTGTGAGCTGAGGTGTCCTGGCCTTACAGCACCTCAGAATATTTTAAAATTTCAAAGAAAACACAAGTGTCATCTGTGCAACACGGTGAGAACTGCTACTCTTAAACTGTTTTTCATAAAAGAAACTCCAGGTAACATGACAGAAACTCTAATATAATAAACTTTTGGCCTGGGATACTGTGAAACAACTGCTGCTGTTCAGTCACATCCGACTCTCTTGCAACCCCATGGACTGAGCCCGCCAGGCTCCTCTGTCCATAGGATTTCCCAGGCAAGAATACTGGCATGGGTTGCCATTTCCTTCTCCAGGGCATCTTCCCAACCCACGGATCAAACCTGCGTCTCCTGCATTGGCAGGTGGATTTTTTTTACCACTGAGCCACCAGGGAAGCCCCAAACAACTATGACACTAAAAGCATCATGAACCAAGAAAGTTTGGAAACCTCTTAGTTAACATTTTCCCTCACTGTCATTTTCTTTCTTTGTGGCCATGCAATGTGGCTTGTAGGATCTTAGTTTCTCTGACCAGATCTTGAACTGGGTCCCGGGCAGTGGAAGCTCAGAGTCCTAACCACTAGACTGCCAGGGAATTCCCATGACATTTTCAAAACTGTATTTTGTGCAGTGCAGTGCTTTCAAGTTCATGTGTGGATATACAGAATTACAGAATTTTATCTCCCACATGTTAGGAGCCTCAGCTATAGAAATGCAATTATTTAGTATCAACAATGGCTTGGTCTCCAGTGACTGGGAGCCCGATTTCCTCCAAGATAGCCATTGCATAAATGACCAGTAACCACTGATGGAAATTCATGCCATATATGATGTAGAAATCTGCTTCCTTTTAACATGAAGTTAGATGTTAGATATCATTTATCAAGAAGACAAGTGTGAATGTCAGTTGACTGCCTGGATGAATACATTTCCAGTTATTCTAAAAAAAAGATCCTAACTTATTATGTAAAAATTATGTCTAAGTAAGATTTAGCATACCCAGATTACTGTTCTTTCCTGTAGACTGGTTCTGTAATGCCCTATAAATAAAGTCTGGGATTGCTAAAACATGATGAACTTGAGAAGTAAGCAAGTTAAAAACTTCATGTGTCATTAAAATATACACAGAGCAGCAGAGTGTGAGACTTCTAGGAAATTAAGGGAGGGGAATGTGTCTCAAAGTTGGGTTTTCAATGCATCCCCCGCCCCCTCCCCCAGCTTTGGGCATTCCATATAGTATTGCACGCTTAAGTACCTATGTTTTGAGCTCTTCATCTCCACCGTCTAGCCAATCTACTCCTTAGAAATAAGGCACCTACAGCATCCTGGTATGCCAAAGGCTGCTAAAAAAAGCCCTAAACTGATGGAGACACGCCAAAAGTACTTAGAAGATGGTATGAAAGGAACAATATGAACATCAAGATAAATAATGAGGGCATTGTGACAGATTGTAACTCACTGATTAAATAAGACCCCATGAGTCCATACTGACACAAGTGAGTAAATAACTGGGAGAGAGGGAAGGCTCTATCTGACAAAGAACAAAAGTAGGAAGAATGATGGAATTAGCAATGACCATGTGACAGTCATCCCTGTAGTACCCGATTCAGGCATGAAGCATTTTTGGAGCAACAGCAGATTCTAAAACTAGAGGGTGCAAATTATTAAAGAAATGCATATCAAAACTACAATCAGGTGCCATCCTGTACTGGCCAGAATGGCCACATTAAAAACTGTACAGTTAACAAATGCTAGAAATGGTGTGGAGAAAGGGGAACCCTCCTACACTGCTGGAGGAGTGTAAGCTGGTGCAGACTCTATGGAAATCAGGAGGGCAGTTCCTTAAAAAACTAAAAACAGAACTGCCATATGATCCAGAAATCCTACTCCATGGCATATACATATATGAGAAAACCATGACTCAAAAAGACCCCAGTGTTCACTGCAGCACTATTCATGATAGCCACAGACATGAAAACAACCGAAAGTGTCCCGGATCAATGAACGGATACAGATGTGGTACCTACGTACAGTGGAGTATTACTCAGCCACAAAAAGAATGAAATAGTGCCACTTGCAGCAACATAGATGGACCCAGAGATTAGCACACTAAGTCAGTCAGAAAGAAAAAGACATATGATGTCACTGATATGTGGAATCTAAAATATGACACAAATGAACCTGTCTACAAAACAGACACAGAGAACAGGCTTGTGGTTGCCAAGGGGCATAGGGGAGAGATGGAGTGGGAGTTTGGGGTCAGCAGATGTAAACTATTATATACAGAATGGCTAACAAGGCTCTACTGTATAGCACAGAAAATCACATTCAACATCCTATTACAAACCACAATGGAAAAGAAAGTAACTTCAGAGGACAGAAAATTAGCAGACACCACCTTAACCAAATGATCAGCTAGTATCACCAGTAATGAGACAAGCTGACATCAAGGGTCTCCTGATGGGAGTCAATGTGAAGAACACTGACAAAAATGTGTCGCAATCAGAATCTAATAATGAAGAGTAATCAAGAGCCAAACAACTGACCTACATTCTTTGTGAGCATCAAGGCCCTTTGTCTTTGACAGTCTGAAAAACTGGCCTAGATTAAAGGAACCTGAGGAGACATAATAACTGTTAATACACGCAACACACGATCCAAGATTTTTTATGAGGTAAAGGGCTCTACTGTGCTGAGTGGTGAAATCTGACCAGGGTCCACAGATCAGAAAAATAGTGCTGTTTCAACGCTAATTTTCTGATTTTCACAAGTGAGCTGTGGTTATGTAAGAGAATGTCAGTGTTTTTAGGAAATATATACTGAAATATCTAGACATAAGGCAGCTTCATATTTGTTTATTCTCAAATGACTTAGGAGAAAGTATATATATATACTGACAGAATGATAAATATGATAAAATGTTGCTGTTTGAAGAATCTGGGTAAAGGCTGTATGGGAATTTTTACTATTCTTGAAATAGTTTCATGTTATCTTAAAGAAGAAAAATGTTTTTCCTAACCCTAACTATAGAAGAACAGAGATAACGTTAATATTTATAGATTTAATGAACATGCTTAACTCTTCTCCAGGAAACCTAAAGATGTAATTTGTAACTCTGGTGAGACGCTGTTCTGAATCTTGCTCTGTGGGGGCAAACTAAGCTCACGTCTTCCTACTCATATCTCATTACCACCAGGATTGGATATGCTGGAACTATCAGAAAGGAATTTCTAAAAATTCTTTTAAAAAAATTTAAAAAACCCATGCATTTAGAAAAAAATATTAGAATGAGAATAAGACAGAGTTAGCCTGTAGAAAGAGTATATGAATATAAACATAGTCCTTGACAAAATGACTTGGGAGAAGGACAGGACCTTGTAGAGTTACACGGTCACGAGCTGGAGAGCTTGCAGAGGTCTTCAGAAGGACCTGCTGAGGATGTCCAGGGCTGGTTTATGTCGCACAGGACAGTCTGGTGACTACTGGACTTTTTACTAGATCTGGGCTTAAAAGCCTCTAAGAGAGTCCCATCAAACTTAGAATAAGCCCGAACTCTTACCAAGCTCCAAAATCAACATGCTCTCCCTCCTCTGTCCTTCTGCCCTCTCACTGCCATTCTCCTTCCACTTGACGCCCCTCCTCTGGCCACTCTGGCCTCCCTGCTGCTCCTTCAACAAGCTCGCTGCACCTGCCTCAGTCTTCACATGTGTGGTGCCCTCTGCTTAGGTCACCTTTTCTCCCAGGTCTTTCCATGTTCTCTTTTCATTCAGGCTCTGCTCTAGGGTCACCTTCACAGAAAGGCCTTCCTCAACCACGCTATCTCTACAATGCCCCGTGTCTCTCCTGCTAACAGTCTCTCTCCCTCTACCTGGCTTTAATTTTCTTTATGCGTCAGTTCAGTTCAGTCACTCAGTCATGTCTGGCTCTGCGACCCCATGGACTGCAGCACACCAGGCCTCCCTGTCCATTACCAACTCCTGGAGCTTGCTCAAACCCATGTCCATTGAGTCAGTGATGCCATCCAACCATCGCATCCTCTGTTGTCCCCTTCTCTTCCTGCCTTCAATCTTTTCCAGCATCAGGGTCTTTTCCAAAGAGTCAGCTCTTTGGCATCAGATGGTCAAAGTATTGGAACTTCAGCATCAGTCCTTCCAATGAATATTCAGGACTGATTTCCTTCAGAAAATTTTTTTTATGGTACTTATCGCCTATCCTACCATGAATCTGTTTCTTCTCTCTCCCCCACTATAACAGACTCCATAAGGGCAGGGATTCACTGCTATACCCCCACAGCTAAAAGCAGTGTTTAGTGCATAACAGGCACCAAACACTGTATCTGTAAGATGAGTGAATCAATGTACTGCATTTACGTTTCTTTCACATCTTATAAGGAGATGACAAACACTGCTTCAGGGAGCTTATGATCTTTTTCAGGTGTGTGTGAGTCAAAGTTATTCAATAGTGTCCGACTCTTTGAGACACCGTGGACTATAGAGTCCATGAAATTCTCCAGGCCAGAATACTGAAGTTGGTAGAGAAGTTCCCTTCTCCAGGGGAATCTTCCCAACCCCGGGATCAAACCCAGGTCTCCTGGGAGATTGCTTACCAGTTGAGCCACCTATGATCTTTTGCAGACAAGCAATTCCAAGTCTGAGGTTCATGGCAAAGGGAAGTGTAGGATTATTTTGGCACAAATAACTAGAAGAGTAATTTTACTCAGCTGGGTTGGGGGTGCGGTCAGTGAAGAGTCCCCTTAGAAACAACATAACAGTTGAAACCTGGGAGAGAAATAGACATTAACTAGGCAAAAAAAGAGGGGCTTCCCTGGTGGCTCAGTGGTAAAGAATCCTCCTGCCAATGTGGAAGATGCAAGTTCAATCACTGGGTCAGGAAGATCCCCTGGAGAAGGAAATGGCAATCCACACCAGTATTCTTGTCTGGGAAATCCCATGGACAGAGGAGCCTGGTGGGCTACAATCCATGGGGTTGCAAGAATCGGACATGACTCAGCACCTACAGAGAGAGCAGGCAAAAAAAGGTGGGAGGTGAGCAGAGACGCGTGGAAGCAGTGTAAGAATACTGATGAATCAATGGACAGTGAGGACAAGGTGGCTGTGGACAAGATGGGGATGTGGGCACAGCAGGCCAGGAAAAGCCTCACAGGCCAGGGAGCTTGGATTTGTATCTTAAGGACAATCAACTCCCCCCACCCCCGGCCACAACCAAATAGTTTTATACAAAAGAGTGACCATTAGAACTGCTTCTTTTAAAGACCACTTTTTAAAAGGGACCACTTAAAACAGACATAGAGAACACACCTGTTAATCAGGACACAGAATTCAGTACCAGAGTGTGCCTGCTGAATGCAAATGCAAATTCATTTCTAAAGAAATCTCACAGTAGGTGCTCACTTTAGCACCACATATACTAAAAATGGAACAATACAGAGGAGATTAGCATGGCCCTTGTGCAAGGATGACATGCAAATTTGTGACGGGTTCCGTATTTTTCTAAAACAACCCAGAGGGATGGGATGGGGGTTCAGGATGGGGAACACATGTAAATCCATGGCTGATTCATGTCAATGTATGGCAAAAACCACTACAATATTGTAAATTAGCCTCAAACTAATGAAAAAAAAAAAGAAAAAGAATATGGACCAGTGGAACAAGATAGAAAGCCCAGAAATAAACCCATGCACCTATGGGTAACTTATTTTTGACAAAGGAGGCAAGAAAATACAATGGGGCAAAGACAGTCTCTTCAATAAATGGTGCTGGGAAAACAGGACAGCTTCATGGAAAAGAATGAAATTAGAACACTTCCTAATACCATACACAAAGATAAACTCAAAATGGAGTAAAGACCTAAATGTAAGACCAGAAACTACAAAACTCTTAAGAGGAAAACATAGGCAGAACACTCAATGACATAAATCAAAGCAAGATCCTCTAGGAACCACCTCCTAGAGTAATGAAAATAAAACAAAAGTAAACAAGTGGGACTTGATTAAACTTAAAAGCTTTTGCACAGCAAAGGAAGCTATAAGCAAAGTGAAGACAACCCTCAGAATGGGAGAAAATAATAGCAAAAGAAACAACTGACAAAGGACTAATTTCCAAAATATACAAGCAGCTCATACAACACAATACCAGAAAAACAAACCCAATCAAAAAGTGGGAAAAAGACCTAAACAGACATTTCTCCAAAGACATACAGATGGCTAACAAACACATGAAAAGATGCTCAACATCGCTCGTTATTAGAGAAATGCAAATCAAAACTACAATGAGATACTACCTCACACTGGTCAGAATGGCCTTCATCAAAAAGTCTACAAACAATAAATGCTGGAGAGGATGTGGAGAAAAGGGAATGCTCTTGCACTGTTCGTGGGAGTGTAAATTGATACAGCCACTATGGAAGATGGTATGTAGATTCCTTAAAAAACTAGGAATAAAACCACCATATGGCCCAGCAATCCCACTCCTAGGCATATATCCTGAGGAAACCAAAACTGAACAAGACACAAGCACCCCAACGTTCACTGCAGCACTACTTACAATAGCTAGAACATGGAAGCAACCTAGATGTCCATTGACAGATGGATGGATAAAGTGGTGGTGGTACATATACACAATGGAATATTACTCAGCCTTAAAAAGGAATGCATTTGAGTCAGTTCTGAAGAGGTGGATGAACCTAGAGCCTATTATACAGAGTGAAGTCAGAAAGATAAATACCATATTCTAATGAACATATATGGAATCTAGAAAAATGTCACTGAAGAATTTATTTACAGGGCAACAACAGAGAAACAGACATAGAGCATAGACTGATGGACATGGGGAGAGGGGAGGAGAGGGTGAGATGTATGGAGAGAGTAACATGGAAACTTATATTACCATATGTGAAATAGATAGCCAGTGGGAATTAGGTGTATGGTTCAGGAAACTCAAACAGGGATTCTGTATCAAACTAGAGGGGTGGGATGGCGAGAGAGGTTCAAAAGGGAGGGAATATATGTATACTCATGGCTGATTCATGTTGAGGTTTGACAGAAAACAACAAAATTCTGTAAAGCAATTATCCTTCAATTAAAAAAAGAAAAAAGAAACCTCACAGTGGGACATCTTCTGAAAGTACAAGGCTACAAGGACATGAACACTCTGCCAGTCAGTGTTAAATATGGAGCAAAGTGAAAGATGCCAAGTCTTGGAGCCTAAATCCTAGTTTTGTTGTTTCCTAGCTCTGTGCTCTTGGGCAAATTATATTCTCAGCCTCAGTTTTTCTACCTATAAAAAAGAAGCAGGGAAAATACATTTATTTTCAGACTTTTGATGACCAAATCAAAGCATGCAACTGCATGGCACATTGCCTGATATATAAGGAAAAAAAAAAATCCCTCATTACCACAGCCTCACAGTGTAATGCTGTTGTCAAGCCTCTCCCATGTGTAGTTATCCATTATGGGAAACATAAAGTAGTCCTAAACTGCCCTATGTGACAGTTTCCTGAATCCCAGCACAGGCTCTGGTCTGTTCAAACCTAGGCCATTCTACCTTACAGGGTCTAACAATACTGTTTGAATTTTAAATGATTTACAGCACACATTTTATTCCAATAAGCAACTATACATGTTAGAATTTTCTTTTTAAAATCCATTAAAGTAGTCCAGGGGGTTAAGAATCCACTGTGCAATGCAGGGGACACGGGTTCAATCCCTGGTCCAGGAACTAAGATCCCACATGACTTGGAGCAACGAAGCCTGCGTGCCTCAGTTACTGAGCTGATGCGCTCTGGAGCCTCCAAGTCACAACTAGAGAGTCCATGCACTGCAACGGAAGATCCTGCATGACAACAATGAAGATTTCTAGTGCCACAGCTAAAAGCTGACCAAGTGAAGTAAATAATGAAAACAAAATAAAATCCATGAAAAAGAAATGATCTTCAAAATATTAAAAACCATCCCTAGATTACTGAAATAATACATTCTCACCTCCTCAAGGGAAGATTCCAAATTCATTCCGAAAGCAACTCCCATTAGCCCAAAGAGCGAGAGAGAGAAGGTTCCCATGGTCAACTGTAGGTTCAACCTCATCATCACATTACGGTGGCTGGGGAGGAGAACAACTGCTTAGATCAGAAGGGCCCACCAACCAAGCACCGCAAATTCACTATTAAAGATCATGTGGGCTAAACAAACACCTTAAAAAGACACTCCCATGTAGCAGTTATAAATGATAATGATGGGATAATTCTTTCCAAAATGGAAAAACAAAGCTAGACTTAAACACTTTATTACTGTGCAATAATTACTTTATTAAAAAAATATGGATTGTTTTCTATGACACCGTCTTACCTGTCCAGATTGATGAATATGATACTCTGTGAATCATCGATCAGTGCCCTGAGTTCCCGAGCTGCGTTGGAAAGATCCTCAGCTAATCGGTAGTAGTTCTCCAACAGCAACTCCATCTCCTCTGCATGGTCAATCCCAGCGCTGCTCTTTTCACTTTAATTAAAAGAGCCCCCGATACATGCGTTATACATTTAGTACCACAAAGCTTCCTGAGTTAGTAGACAACATTCAGTTATCCTCTGCTCCTCATGACTCCTAGGTCGAGGATTAGCCCCAGGGTGGGCAGCGGCAGCAGAGAAACCA